TATAAGGGTCCATTTGATAGTATTGAATTCCATGAAAAAATGTCACATTCAAGGAATTCGTTTAAAACAAAAGTAAAAATGGAGTTCGAATTTCAAAGTACAAACACTTAAAGTATGTTTTTAGCCAATTAGTGGAAATCGAATTTTTATGGTTTTACAAGTTAATTTTTGAGTAAATGGCTTTCGGTCCAGGAATTTCAGAACCATTTTGGTAAAAGTGACCACCCATACTTTGTCTATTTTTCATTTTCTTTTGACCAAAAAAAAACAAAAAAAAAAGATTCATAAATTTAGTAAAATTGGAGTACAATTTATTCCAACTTTAAGTTTTTTGTGTCAAAGAAATAGGTAGAAACGCAATGATGTGAGAATCAAGTTATTTATTTTCTTTCATTTACAAGTTTTTAGCCTGAAGAATAAATAAAATGAAGGAAAATGCTCATTTGCCAAAAGAATGGTTGATAGAGGTCTTAACACTCACTCGCAACCATCAGGTCCCACATGAATAAATAATTGGGAGGAAGAGGTGGTCCTACTCCCAAATGTGTGTATGGGTCAGGCCTCTGTCATGCTTCTTCTGGCAGAGGAGCATGGTCCATTAAGGAAAATTTTGTACGTATTTGTCTGGGTATACGTTGGTTCCATAACAATATTTATGACATCTTCAAAAGTTGAATTGAATGTTATGAAAATATAGATAAATAATCCTCCCAAATGCGTGTATGGGTCAGGCCCTCTGTCATGCTTCTTCTGGCAGAGGAGCATGGTCTATTAAGGAAAATTTTGTACATATTTGTCTGGGTATACGTTGGTTCCATAACAATATTTATTACATCTTCAAAAGTTGAATTGAATGTTATGAAAATATAGTTAAATAATTTTTATCTGTCATATTATTGAATCACACTACTAAATGGAAGACCATAGCGCATTAAACTAAAGAAAGCAACACGTACATGGTCGAGACTTGAATTTTGAGCCGTGCATTGATAGTTAACTCAATTTTTCTTGCTATGCCCATTGCCTAACATGTGATGGAGTCAGAATTTTATGTATATATTAAATTTTCTTTTCTTTTCTTTTCCTTTTTTTTTTTTATTCCATGAGAGGTAGCTCGGTGGTCAAACATTGGATTTGCTCTCCAATGATCACTAGTTCGAATCCCCTCAGGGTCATTGAGATGAACACCCAACCATAAACTTTAGAGTCTCATGAAATTAGACGAGGTGTGCGTAAGTTAACCCGAACACTCAAGATAAAAAAATTAAAAAAAATTATATGGATGTAAAAAAATTTAAAAATATTATGGAAATGCTCTCTATCCTTCAACCTCTATCCATCCCGTCGTTGAGTACAAGTAGGAGCAACGACTCCCAACATTTTAGAAACATCTGCTTCCACTGATCTTGAAATCATACAAAATAGAACGATGAACATGTGCAACAAATATTATGTATTAATGACAAAAATAATTCAAGGTGAAAAAATGGAAAAATAAAAAGAGAGAAAAATAATAGAGGAATTTGGCCCACGTGATATCACATGGGACCAGACCTCCAGCACGTGACAGAGCCAATCCGGCCGGACAAGCAAAGTAGCTTACTCCAAGTCAAAGAAAAGAATGGGGTTTTAATTTCACAAATGGTCCCTTAAGTTCAACCACAATTTCAAACTGTCCCATAAATTATTTGATTGATTTAATTACTAAAGTTTAAACTATTTACATATTCGATGACTCTATTAGCAACTTCCTCCAGATCCAACGTGTCCCATTAAACCTTGACATTGACAACAACTATTGTTTCAATATCTTGAAATGACAAATCTTAAAAATTCTTGATTCTTGATTCTTGAAAGGAAAAAGCTCGCATTCATTTAAATATTCTGAAATACTCCCTTAAGCTCTAATCATAATTTTCACAACTAATAAAAAGTGAAAATGTCTCAATAAGCGGAAACAGTAGGGTAGTTGAAGGAATCGATTACTATAATAACTATGATCTGCACATAAATGTTTAATGATTGCTACGTCAAAATATAGTATTAATTAGACGTAAGGATCAATTTGAAATTTCTCAAATTTCACTTAAACTTCATTGACAAAATGTGAAATTAACTCAAAGTAGAAGTGTTTAAATATTATAGGTGGTCTGGGATTGCTGGTGGGGTGGCGTGGGGTGCAGGGGGTGGGGGAATGGGGGCCTTCATGTAACCAAGGAAAAGAACTGCGGAATGGGCATGATGGAGAATGAATTGGGGCGTACTTGGTTTCTTTCTAAAGTTGACTAAGCCCAAAACCATGTGCTATTCAATTTCTCACTTGTGTTTTGATAGTTTGAAATTGATGGTTTGAGAGTGCAAACATAATTATAATATATTTTTTTTATATTTTAATTCTCAAACTCTAATTCTATGTTCCCAAACATAAGACCACATTATTACCTTAACTTTAATGTTTAGTAATTCTAAATATTTTTAGGTGCTACTCTTCTATATACATTTTTACCTACAAGGCTTAGTGCTATAAACTCCAACATAAATATCAATCATTAAGGAAGATTGTGCTTACTAGATCATTTCACCTTATACCATACATCAATATATAAATAATTCGTAATATTTTGTGCTAAAACAAAGAAGAATTTCATTGAACATGGATCGACACAAAAAAAATAGAGTAATGCTATTTATAGTAGCTCACTGCGATAGTCGCCCTACGTAGCATCTTACAGGCGGTTTGTAATTTGATATATTAATGTGGTAGTGTTTTCTTGCCACATATATCAAATCACTAACCGCCACGTACATATCACGTAAGGCAACTACGATAGTAAGTTACTGCAAATAGCGTTATTCTAAAAAATAATAATAATCTCAAAAGCAGAAGTGGGCCCCATTAACTCAATTCTCATGCTTCCACGTGTCCTAATAAGTCACGCTTTTCCCGTGACACGTCAGCTAGTACCTTCCATAAAAGCTCTCATCATAGCCAACTCATTCACCACATCAAACGCTGCAGATTCATCCTCCCACACACACTTTATAACTAACTTAAATTTTACAGAGGTCACCATATTTTGAGTGAAGTCTCAATTGGGGTACTCAATTTTATAAAGCTAGAATCAAGTCACCAAACATTGAATTTATTTCAAATCCAGTCAATTTATTAGATGCTGTTGATAAAATTGTCATATTCTCCCCCAAAAAGGCTCAGATATTCATTGGTGATTTCTCTATATGACTTCTATTAATATTAACACACCATATCACACATTAGGCTAAGACTCTAAGCCCAACCATCACATTAATGTAGGGAAATTAGCACAAATGATCCCAAATCTTACAACTATATTGTGTAATTGGTCCAAACTTTTTCAATTTTGGCACAAATATTTGTCTACAAGGACCGTTAGTTTGGTTGTTGGAATACAATTGACCATCTTTATCTAAAGGAAATTTTTGTCAAGTACATGTGTTAGCTCACTCCTGTCAATAAATTCAAAAATCATCTATCAATATATTTAGTAAAAAGAATATAACAGACATGAGTGCAATTTCAAAATCTCGATATTTTTATTTTAGAGAAAATGGATTTTAATAAATGTTGTTGTATTTCGAAACAAATTGTTGAGCTCCAATAGAAGGTTGCGACATGCGAGAAGAAACCTATACTCTCTATCTATCTATTGTCCATCCAGAGAGACTTATATCACTATCAAATACACAAACGAACATTCAAATCCCACAAATTCATCATCACAAAAGCACGCATATTTTAGAAAAATTGTTACAAAATATTTCCTTTTTACACTCGTTTATTACCAAAAAGCAATTCCCACAATTTCTGGCAAAAAAATAATAATAAAATGCTACACCAGTTAGTTAATTTCATCCAAATGTGCAATTAACCGAATGGAAAATGAAATTTTCGAAGAGGATACAACCAAAGCTCAATTTGAACACTTGCCCATGCAAATACATATGAGCAATTTCCTTCCAAATGTGTCAAATGAGTCGCTTTGTAGTCTAATTTACGGAGATATTGAATTTATTTCCGATATTAAGGGTTTGCAAAATATCCTTCTTGACCGGACGAAGTTTTTCTTTATTTATGAGTGGGACATGTACTTGACAAAAATACCCGTCAATTAAGGTCAAATGCATTCTAAAGACCAAACTATCGTCCCTTATAGACGAAACCGAACATCAAGACCATTTGCTCCAAAATATAAAGTCTCGGACCATTTATACCACATTTGAAAGGTTTGAACCAATCACACAATATTGATAAATGTTTAAGAACATTTGTGCATATTTTCGTTGGGACGTGCTAGAACTACAGCCTCCTTTACATGGTGACTGACAGCCTCTCACGGGAGGGGGGCCGTGCCTTTTTCTTTATTGGTGCAAGCCCCCCTATTGTGATATAGTCGAAAGATTTTGTTATATTTTATGATAATATCTATTAATCAATTGTTGAAAACCATTCCCTCGATGATGACTCAAGTTAAGAAATAATTTTTTATGCATAAGGTGATAAGAAACAGTCCAAAATCGTACGAAATAATATAAAAATTTTCGAAAATGTACAAAAATATATATATAAAGAAATGCATCCTATTTGGACTTTAGAACCAGATGAAATGACATCATTGAAATTTGACCTATGTGACATTTGATCTAATCCTAATGCATGTGCCTGTCAATCCTAGCTAATTGTATTTAACAAAATATGACGGAGTGACTAGATTTGAAACAAAATTAAAATTGGTGATTTTATTAAGACTTGTTAAAGTTAGACGACCCAATTAAGACTTCTTTCAAAGTTGAATGACCTCCAATAAAATTTACCCCCAAACCCCTTATATATACAGATAGCAACTTCGTAAATCCTGTCTTACTGAACTGGAGTTTGCTAGAGGAAAATGAAAGCCGTGATTTGCCGAACCGGATCCGGATCAGTTCCGGTCCAGACCGGATTTATGTCCAGTTTATCTCGGATCCCTGTTTCTTTATCTGTCCAAGATTTCTCCTCCGGTTTGCACTCCCTGGAGAGTAATGGTGGTGTCTCGTCTCCGAGAATATCCCTACATATGGACGTGGGCTGCCGCGGAATTCGCCGGTGCTCTTCGGAATCTGATGTCATCGGATCGGAAGTGAAATGTTTGAACAAGCTCCAATCAAGATCGTTTCCGGCGAGGATACCAGAGGAGGAGAGCGACGATTCTGTTTTGCTGAAAGGGATTCCATTGTCGACTTTAGAGCAGGAGGGTCAGTGGGGATACGTCGGAAACTGGACTGAAAGTGGGATTTCATCAGAGGAATTGGGGTTTTCCGGTGGAGGGATCAATAAGAACAGAAATTCTGGTGGCGGCAGTAGTGGAGGGAAAGGAGACAGCGGAGATCGGAGCAAGATCGGAGCTTATTATCAAGAAATGCTCAAGACAAATCCCACAGACTGTTTGCTGCTTAGAAACTACGGCAAATACTTGCACGAGGTAGTCTTTAAGTTGCGCATGAATCAAAATCTGTATAAGAAGATTATTTTTATGAATTAATTATCATTTTTATTGTTATATATGAATTCTGATTTTGAATATGAATGATAAGGTGGAGAGAGATGCAGTGAAAGCAGAAGAGTATTACGGAAGAGCAATTTTGGCAGGTCCAAGTCCTGGAGACGGAGAAATCTTCTCGCTATACGGGAAGTTAATATGGGAGACAAAGAGAGATAAAAACAGAGCCAAATCCTACTTCGATCAATCGCTTTATGCCTCTCCAGACGATTGGTATAATTTTTAGATGATATAGTTTACAGTTCAAGCAAGGAATTATCCCTATTGATTTAAAATTCTTATTTCTTTCTTCTTCTTTTTTCCTTGAAATTATGGCAGTACGGTGTTGGGATCGTATGCCCACTTTATGTGGGAAGCTGACGAAGAGGGAGAAGAAGAAGAAATGCCGATCGCAGCAATGGCGGAAGCTTACTAACTTCATTTCCGGGTGAAAGCTTGAAAACTATATGAAGCAGAGTTAACAAATAACAACAATTTCAAGTGGAGAAACAGCTTTCTACATGTACAGTGCAGTCCTTGTATTTTAGTGAAATCTAATCGAGGTTCTTAAGTTTGATTACCGTTTGTTTTATGTTTTAGTGAATAAAAATGTTGAACAAATGTTGTAACCTATAACGAAAGAAATAATGACATGCGAGATTATAGATACAAAGTCACTGTTTGGTTTATTTAAAAAAGTTCCATGAAAATTTTAGTTAATGTCAACAATATATTTTAATAATATATCTATCTCATGTGAATCTCAAAATTTTTCAACATTTCAATTAGATATTTTATCAATTTCTATTAAAATTTACTAAAAATATGATATTTAGCAATATCACGTGAGTGACCAGGGTTCAATCCTCAGCAACGACTCCAAAAATTTGTTATGGGAAAATATATTTTGATTTAAATAACTGCAAGTGTACGATTCCTTAACAAATAATAAAGTGGATATTGAGTTCAAGTATCATCCCACAGAGATTGATTTAGTTCAATTTTAAGTACCGCGACATTAACCGAAACAAGAATTATGAGAATGTGTTTGTTATGATGAAATTATAACTAAAATAAACTATATATACAATTATGAATTAATTAAATTAAACGCGAATGATTTTTGAATGTAAGTCCGATGAAATTAATGAATGAGAGCCACACTAGGATCACGAATTCCCATGCAACGATATCTTTTAATCTTAATTCTTTAAATTGACTGCACGTTTGAAGTTTGAAAAATCAATGTTTCCATTTTATCCAACAATCTCTCTCGAGTAATGTTGAACATACTCTCATATACGACCCGACTATATTTTTATGACGGATGCGAATATACAAGAATACATAAATTTTTATGAACACTTAGGGATTCACACAAGGCATAGCTGTATATCTCTATCCCCTATCGAACATTACAATGATTTATATCTTGTCGAGCATATTTCCCTTCTCTCGAATGCATGAAATACGCTACAAAATTCACACAATTGTGGAGGAAAATAATTGCATATAAACCATTCAAATTTCGATAACATGTTGTATTGTCAATAATATAAATTTAAAAAATAAAATGATTACATCACATAGTTCATCGTTCTCCTAATACAAACAAATTTAGCTTAACATGATATGAAGAAAGAAATAAACTGAATAATAAAGAAAAGACTTCACCAATTCAAATCTGGAATTGAACATTGCCTTTTGATGTCAATCTTCATGTTCTTGTCTTGTTCTCTCTTCTAAACCCTTATAAATGTGTTATAATGCGTCCTCCCTCTTTAGGGACGACCCTAAGATTTTAAAATACTTCTTAAAAATTTCAATCATAATAGAAATCCAGAATTTTTTCGCTGCGACTGCCTAGGTAAAGCTCGAGTAGTCGCCCAGGCTAACATTTTCGTCTCGGTAATTGTTCCTTAATGTTGGGCAATCGCCTATTTGTAAGAACTTTCTGATGTTGCATTTTAGTCCCCGGAATCAATTTTTGATTCTTTTTTGTCCTTTTTCGCATCTTTTCTCTTGAATCCTATCATATCTCTCGATATAGTCCTACAAAACAAAATTATACGGAATTAGTCCATAATTCAAATGCTTTAATCAACAATTAGTCATGTTTTATGATCTTTTAGTTCGATTCAAATGTAGAATACTTATCCAAAAGTTTTTTTACTCAATCACAAGTGATGAAATCATAAAAATTTGACTTTTTTGAATTTTGCTTGTAACTCACTAGAGGCCCGAAAATAAAATGAATATGTTAATGGAGATAGTCATAGTCAACGCCGTCCAACTTAAAGGCATAAAGCAGTCCACTGTTAACCCGACCAGACCTGACCTACCATTTTAGTTTCTTAGTATAAGCTAAAGTAGTCCACCTCCACCTCCACCTCCACCTCCACCTCCACCTCCACCTCCACCTTCAACCTGACCTATCATTTGAGTGGCTTGGTTGTAATTTGTGACCATGTCGACTTGACTCACATTTTCTGAATTGGAACTATCTTCATTTAAAATTTTTTTTGCTTTCTAGAAAATGCCCAGATGGTTAGGTCAATGAGGCCATTAGCTTGAACTGGACCATTACATTTTGAATTGTCGAGCCGCGTTCCATTCGTTGTACTTGTCATTTGGGCATAGTCTCTTGGAGCTTGGTGCAAATTTTCTATATTCCTATAATGAAATGAATTACCCAAATAGATACTGAACTTTGTAAAAGGTTTCTACGGGGTCATTGAACTTTAAAAATCATTGAATTCATCACTAAACTATGCAAAAAGTTTTCATGAGGTCACTGAATTTTAAAAATCACCAAATTCATCACTGAACTTTACAAAAGGGTTCGAGTGCTCACTAAATTTAGCTACCCCTCAGAAACATTTTGTAAAGTTCAATGACCCCGTGAAAATCTTTTGTAAAGTTTAACGATGAATGTGGTGAATTTTAAAGTTCAATGACCCCGTAAAAACCTTTTGCAAAGTTCAGTGATGAATTGAGTAATTTTTAAAGTGCAGTGACCCCGTGAAATTTTTTTACAAAGTTCAATGACCATTTGGGTAAGTAACTCCCTATAATGGGTAGCCCCTATTTTGTTGTTTTTTATATTAATTTCCAATGATCATATCCCTCAAGCCCAATTATTTTTGTGAAGGAAAAAATTCATTTTTAATGAAAATTCTTCTGTTAAATAGAAAGAAAGTGAAGAGGCCAATAAACTTTTTTTTTTTTTTAACTAAGAATCCAGACCACATATTTATAAGAAAGAATTAGGGGTACAATGATAATAAAAACTAGGGTTGTAGGGATACAATTGTCATTCTCTAATAATTATATTATTTACAATATCCCCTTGAATGATACATTATAAAATATCCGTTTCTTTAAAATCTTCTCAAGAAAATTCAATGGGACAAAACTTTAGTTAAGGAAAAGGAGTACCTGCTATCCTTGATTTCAATTCTTTTATTGATTCCTCATTGTCTTGTACACGTTAATATTTTCGAACAACATTGTCTTCATACGAGATATTTATCAACTTTTGATTCCTGTAGTAACATGATGATTCGAAAAATAACTTTTGTTGATTTCTTTGGGAGTTTTATACATATATAAGTATTATACACCTCATTAAAACTTTATTAGGAAAAATCCTGTGAAAAAAATTCCAACGAAGGAAAAAAAGTACATGCATAAATATTATTTTGTCTCATTAAAAACCTTGTCAGGAAAATTCAATTAAATGAAATCGTAGTCAAAGGAAAAAGAATATAGCCCGCATTCATTCTCCCTCATGGTTATATCACTTGAGTTATATGCTTTAAGTATGCTAAATCTTTCAAAGTAATATTAATAGTCATGTCGGATGATTGGCTATAGTTAAATTTATTATATGCATATCAAATTTCATGCATTGTCGGACTAGAAAAATAAAGATTTGTGATTACATTTACCATATGATAATTTATATATTTATACAAGTTTTCGTGAAAATTCTTGACGTAAACAATAATACATTTCATATTACTACTTTACTTTTTCTATTTTCATTTCGCATAAGCCTGCACATTTATGAATTTGAAATGCAGATCTAGAAACTTCAGATTTTTTTAGTAAATTTAACTTGCTAGGATTGTGTCCATCTATTTTGGTCAATTATTTCTTTGATCGATATGTTTTTACTAATTTATTTCGATTCTCTATTCGTAATACAATGCAGTTTATCATGTGCAAATATATTGTTGAAAACTTTTTATTTTCGATTCTATATCCTTTTTTCATAACGATATAATTTATTGAGATTCCTCTACTTTCAATATTTCAAATATTTGAACATCTTTTGGGGTTCTATAATTAGTTATATCTAAATACTCATAAAAAATATATACCTCCTTAACATGATTATCTTTGCTAATTCCCTCATTTTTATTAGAAATTTTTATATTATAATTGAATATCATCATACTTTAGGCATGCCATAAATTTATCAAATATATTATTAACTAATTGTCTTATTTGACACTAATTTGAATTGGAGCATTTAAAGCTATTGTGTGAGATATTATTGATTTATTTGTTTAGCCAATCCCTGGACTATGTAATCTACTGGGTTACAGGCAGGCATTTTACCAAAGGTTTCTAATCTACCCTTGTGTTATTCCTCTTGAAGCATATACTCGGGGGTGGGTATAGGGCAGACGATTTTCAAGCAGACTCCCCATTCATTAGATTGAGAAGATCACCAAGATTTCGTGATTCGCTACATATCTATCTAATCATATATACTTATCTTTATATATTACAATAAATAAAAGAAGGAGGGTTTTCAATGCGAGATCTAAAAACATATCTCTCCGTTGCACCAGTACTAAGTACACTATGGTTCGGGGCTTTAGCAGGTCTATTGATAGAGATTAATCATTTTTTCCCAGATGCGTTGACGTTCCCCTTTTTTTCATTCTAGTTATTGACATGGGAAGGAATGAAGAAGATTACAGATACAATCAAATATTTGTGACTAATCCCCCCTTTTTCTCTCTTTTTTCCCTTTTTAGAATAAGGGAGGAAAGAGAAAGAATACAAATAGATCCAACATCTGCGAGACTCGTGTTCAAGTTCGAATTAAATGAATAATAAAAATTAATAATAGAGGAATGGGCATCTAAATAAAATAATTTTTGAACTTCTAGTTCGAATTATCTTTTTGCGGGGGTTTGTACATTATTTTTAACTTCATAATTTCTCTCCTAATGTCGAGAGAATTGTCTAATCAAATTGACAATAAATAAACTACGTTATAAAATATCAATCGCTTGAGATAAGGGTTCAAACTACGTATATATTCTCAAAATTCTGTACTTTTTATCTCAGTACAATGTGATGGATTAATTGTACATATATTGCATTATGAAATAATTAGATGAAAATTTAGGCTCAGACTATAAGTCAATTATAATATGATGAACTTTTATGTTCGCATAATGCACAATAACATTCTTCAAAATAAAAATGGGAAATACTTTGTTCTTGAAGTAATAATTAAGAAATTCAATGGAGGTACTTAATAATCAGTTATGTTAACCATTTACCGTTAGCCTAGTTAACATATATTAAAAGTTAGGGATGGAGACTCAGTAGCATTAACAAGACATGTCATCTTGATTGTATAATCAAAATTATATTCATAATTTAAAATTTGAGCAACAATTTAGTAAAATTTTAAATTGCAAACACTATGTAATATCT